CTGCTGTCTATGTTAGATTTGCTTAGTATCTTTATAGTTTCTTTTTTGCAAATTTTTTTTTACCTTTTTTATAAAATTTAAAAATCATGATATAATTATCTTTTCAAAAGTATAATTAAGTTTTAATCTATAATTCATTTTTCACTAATATAATTACTGTAATTTTGTAATATATACATTAAAACAAGATTTCTGTAAAATAAAAGTTTTATTTAGTATTTGACTCCACATTTTGTAATTATATATATATATATATATATATATATATATGAAATATATTTTCTTTTTGTGACTATGGTTATGATTGGTCTTTTAACCTACGAGCGGGGAATTTTGAGCTGTAGAGAGAAAAAAAAGTTAAATACTCTACTTAATTACATGCCAATTAATTATTTAATGACATAGACTATATATTATTTTCCGCATAAAGGCTTATATTTTATGTATTTATAAGGAGACCAAACTTTTAAAATTATAAATCATGAGTCAAGTCTCAAGTGTTTATCAGACAATGATTGCATAGTAAAAACATTATCATGATCTCGTGGGTGTTTTTTTCGCACGAACCTATCTTAATAAAAGAATGTTAAAAAATGTCTAAAATTAACAAAAGTAATTAACAATATTAAAAATCATCGAATAATATGTATATTAATATACCATATGGTTAAAACATTCTCCATGCTACCATACCATATTACTTTTTGAGTTTGCAAAAGTTTTAATATCCATATTATTTTAGGTGTTTTTTTTGGATAATCGAGTTTTCTGTGCCGAGACCCAGACTAATCTCGGGGTAGAGCCAACCATGTGATTTAAATTATACGCTCTCTTTCCAGGTTCGAACTCGGAGCGGGACAGTTTTAGGTGTTAGTTTGGTAAACAATGAAATAGTTTCCACTCGTTAATTATAGATTGGGCAAAAGATTATCTTCTCGATATTTTTTCCTATGATGGTTATAGAAAACTCGACGTCAAAAACAGGGAAAAAAAACCCTAAGATTACACATATTTTGTTGTCTAGCGTCCACAGCACCTTCATAAAAAGGGGAATCATTAAAACTTGTTAATATTAAATAAGAAAACGACATGAATCAAAAGAATAATTAATTTAAATAAAGCAAATGGTTTCGTTTTCAAGATCAAAAGTTCTAATGGTGGGGACCTCGGACTTAAACTTGTATTAAGACTACCTTAATCGTTTGTTTGGCGTCCGAAAATCATTTTGATTGGTCGAAGTTAGATTATATTAATCGAAATATAAATATACTGGTATATATATATAACAAGTTAAAATATGGTGGGAAATGGCCAAATTGCCTCGTAAGACTCCATTGGAGCATGCAGTTGGAAGAATCACGAGGCTCTTGAGTTGGTCAATTGCAACCAATATTAGCGCTCGCCAATTTATTTTCGTTTCCTTGCATGAAAAATTAAATATATTTCGAACTTTTTGAACAGAAGTCTTATTTCATAACTTACAAGCACAGTAATATATATAAAATCTCAAAGCCAAATGAATTGCAAACAATTTAAAAAACGTATTTGAAAAAAAAAACATATTTGAATCACCAAATCGCTTTTTTTCCTCGTGGGTTTCTTTAATTACAAAATACAATAATAAAATGTAAAAAAAAAGGAATTTGGCATTATTCGGAGGTACGCCTAAAATCTGGGGAGATTTTGTAGGGAAGAACAAAAGCTTACATGCAAGCAACACCCACTCTGTGCTTTCCCTCTCTGCACAATTCTACCTGCCCTTCATCACAATCCACATATATAGATACACTTAATATATATACACACGTGGATCTACGGTTTCTTTCCTTGTTAGTTTTACTACATAAATGGGAATGATGATATATACTTTTATCGTGGTCGAGTTGCAGTTTATATACAACATTTCCAAGGAGCGGGAATATCATAAAAAATGGCAAACTGCTATTTTCATTTAGTACCGCTTTTTATTTATCAAATAACGAAATTGCATCATGTATATATATATGTTCGGTTAATATTATCTATTATATCAATGCTCGTAAATGGGCAGGGCAGGTAAAAGGAGGGGGCTAAGTAATCTCACAGAAGAAGTGCCCCCGAGATTTAAGGGTCAAGAGAGCAATTCCCGATGCCTTTTTCTTTTTTCTTTTTAAATAATGAAATGGCTATGTTCGTCTCTCTTTCCCACCCTCTTGAGTTCCACGTGCCTCCCTCTCCCCTCGCACGTGTCTACTCACTTTCATATCAATGCTCGATGGTTTGATTCGCAGGATACGTTACAAGTAAAAGATTTTTCATTAATTATTCAAAAAGCTCACGACGCACACATATGTGCGTTTGTGTATTGGGTTGGCAACATTTTACTCAAAATGACGTGACATGATGTGAAAGCGTACTTATACCTTTCAGGGAAGAAAATCCGTTTAGTCGATAGAAAATAAAAACATTGTTTGACGTTGCCAATTTGCCATACATATATATAATCACGAAACTCTGTTTGTTGGTCCGCATGGCTTTTATTATCTTTGGGAAATGAAATGGGTCCTGTAAAAATCCACAGGATCTTACGAGCAGTGCGTATACTGGACACTCCGATCTCTTCAACCTCGTACCGACACTATTATATGCGTCTTCCTTTGAATATATACACACACACTCACACAAAGCGAGGCCCGTGTACCTTGTATGTCTTTTGCACTCAATTGAGATTTAACTCTATAAATTTGCTTGTTATAAACCCTAGAGTTTGTGCACATTGATCCAAGGATTTGGACTTGACGTTTATGATTCGCTATTTTTTTATCCATCGTAGTTATATGTGTTTTTTTATTATTGTTATTATCATTGACGCGTTTTCGTATTATATGATCAAAAGGTATAGTCATAGTCAACTTGCAAATTTAGCCTCCCACCTGAGAAAAGCCAGTAATATTATACTGTTTATTGGATTTCATTACATTTTTTCAGTTACACACTTTCAATGCATAATTATTTAGAATAATCTATTAAAGTAATATTATGGAATTTCGTATGCATAATATATATGTACGTGTGTGTGATATTATTAGCAATATACTCACCTACCTGGGAGGCATATTTTACGGCCTTTGCGATTAATTATATAGATATATATATAAATAAATTTGTGTAGTTTCAAAATAATAATTTTTGCGATAATATTTTCCGTAGACAATATATTTATCAACACTCGGGAACGGAAGCCTTTTGATTGTATATATATAGTAATAGTATAAAGTCCTAACTTGAGAAAAAAAATATAAAATCGGTTAAAAGAATTTCAAACTTTCGCACGTGGGATGTGCTATTGATCGCAAAAGATGAGAGCAAAATGAATAAACAAAGATACAAGTTTTGTTGCGGTAATCATTGTGATTTACCCATTAATTATTGCTTAACATATTTTTTTCAGAGAAACATTTATACAATGGACAATAAAAATACTGCATATATTCAATCTACGTAGAATTTTTGTTATAGACGCATGTCTCGATTAAATAATTTTAGGATATATATGAATAGGAATCCAACCCACCATCGATAAAAAATTGTTTTACCACTGATTAAATGGTAATCAAGTTTGAATTAGAGGAGTAATGAAAGTTGAAATCCAACTAATCCAAGGTGAAATCCGTCTCTAAAACATTGTATAATTATTTCAAATTTCCTATCATTGATTTGCAAACATTTGAAAACATAGCTGTTACAAATGGGATACCATTCAAAGGATTGCCATTGTCTTAATTAACGGAGAGTTTAATTCAGTAAACAACAGAGATTAGGAAGGGCATGAAATTATTACCCATATTATAATATGATTGGAGCCAACTTATCTCAAGGGAGGGTCGGTCAAAGCAAAAGCCATCCTCGGTGGCCATTGGAAGAGCCGTGGACCCCACGCGCCGCATCCTTCCATTCCATCCCCCACTTGCTCTCTCTCTCATGGTTCACTTAACCTCATTAATTGGTCAACTTTTCTAATTAACCATGGTTAGATCCCTCGTCATGGGCCAGGATTAAATTCCAGCAACCCTAGCTCTTGTTTTTAGATCCATTATCCAATGTTTTCTCTGCATCAAGACTTCCCTTCATTTCCATTTTTGATCCATCTTTTTCGATTCATGGTATAAGGGATGACAAAAGAATTTTGGTGGTGTTGTATTGATTTAACTAAAGATTTTTATTGATTAAAAAAAATGAAATATTTCGTATAAACATAAATTAAGAAAGTAAATAATAAAAAAGGGTCAATGAAGGCGGAGAATGTCTTAATTAACAGAAAAAGAAGGGGGAGCATCTTGATGAAACCCACAAGATAACCCCAACCACACATTATTATGATTTATGGATTCAAAACATCTTTGATCTAATGATTCGTCGTTTTCTCAAAATCTTAATTTATGTCCCATGAGAGAACACCCACCCACATCACATAACGCCCACGCTCCATCTCGGCGCGTGTTGACCAGATTCTCATGGTTTTTCTACGGTCCAAATGTAAATGCAAGTTTCACGACAATAGTATTGCCTATCAATAACATAACATGCATTAACATCAACCTATATTTCATATTATTATGCTTTCATAAGACTAGTGCGACTTTTGGGTTTACATAAAAAGAAAGGGTTTAACATTATTATTATTATTATTATTATATTTTTAAATTGTTTAACAGTATTGTTGATCTTATCGGAAAGAATTTTTGTACTAAATAAAGTACCAAATACGAAAAAAAAAGAGCCGCAACAAGTCATGTTACACTAGTCGCGTATAATTAACGCTCTTAAAAAAGAGAGTAGGGTTTTGCATAAAAAACACGGAAACCATTTTAAAAGAGTGAAAATTCGACACCAAATGAAATGTTATTATAATTGAAAGTTTAGGTCAGAGAAGTGACTGCATATATCTACATACATGTGTATGTATCTAAATATATTTCTCTTCTTTATTAGTTTTTTTCAAGTCTCACCTTCTCCTTCGACTTTCCATCTCCCTTCCTTCTGTGTCTCTCCTTTCTCACCATTTGTCTATCCCCTCACCTTTTTTTAACCAAAAAAAAAAAAAAGGACCAAGAACAAGAAAGGATTATAGAAACCCTATAAACAAAGGCGTATAATATAATCAAATCTTTAGCCTTTGTTGGTGTATTATTTTTTTTATATAATTTTATTTTTTTCTATCATCCTTTGCGTTTGATCTGGCCATGGCGGGTCTTGATCTAGGCACTGCTTTTCAATACGTGAATCACCAACAGATCCATCGACCCGATCTCCACCTCCAACACCATCCATCCTCCGACGATGACCCCGCCTCCTTGTCCGGCGACAACCACTACCACGCCGGCAACATCGCCGCCGCATCCCGC